GAACACGGAGGAGCACAGCAGGAAGGAAGGTGGCTGGTTGCGGCAGGCAGAGAAGCAGGTAAGTTGGTCACTGGACAGGGAGAGCACAAGGTTAGAATTAGCAACAAACACTTAGAGATNACACAAACTCGCTCGGATCTGTCATTAGCCCGCATGGTTTTTCATACCACTGCTACGTTGACGACACCCAATTCATTCTGTCTTTTCCCCGCTCAGAGAGTCTCTGAGCGGGGAAAAGACAGAATGAATTGGGTGTCGTCAACGTAGCAGTGGTATGAAAAACCATGCGGGCTAATGACAGATCCGAGCGAGTTTGTGTACAGAGAGAAGAGGAGGGGACCAAGGACAGAGCCCTGAGGGACCCCTGTAGTTAATTGACAAGGGTCGGAATCGGACCCTCTCCAGGTTACCCTGTAGCTGCGGTCTTTGAGGTATGAGGTGAGGAGGGAAAGTGCAGAGCCTGAAACTCCAAGTTCTTGGAGAGTGTGAAGGAAGATCTGATGGTTCACCGTTTCGAATGCAGCAGACAGGTCCAAAAGGATGATGACAGAAGAGAGGGAGTGCAGCTATATTTTTTATTTATTTTAAAGTGGGCCCATTTTAATTGTATTAATTTCCTTCAAATGTGCAGAGGACTCTAAGTGCTGTGTTGATTTATCTTAAAGTAGGCATGTGTATGTTTTTTGTATTCTCCTTATAAGAGTTATTTGTTTATTATTAGAGGTAAACAGTTTTCTATAATGTAATACATAATAAATGCAAAAAAACTGTAGTTTTTGTATATAAGGTAACAATATATACAACGTTATAAGCTATTTAGCTATCAAATATGTTTTGTGGCTCCAGACAAAAACAATTGGTGGAAAAGGGGGTGAAATTGCTCTTTTTGTCAAAAGGTTACAGACCCCTTGTCCAAAGCATTTATTGTTTTCACTCTCATATTGACAGTGTGGATCCATTGAGACAGCGTGGTATCCAGAGAGCTGCAGAGACTTCAGGGAGAAACCTCAGTGTGATGGACATTGGCTGGACTGAGGGTCTTTCCTCTGCGAGGAGGACCAGGCCTGATGGAAGAGGAGGACCAGGCCTGATGGAGGAGCCCATGCTGGGCATAGCTGATACCAACTGCACAGGCCTTTCACTTTATTTGACTAAATGTGTTTACTTATACATTTAATAGGTTTACATCTTCTGTTTATTGTAGTAAAAGGTTACAGTCCAGAGGGGACGCACCGTATACCGACATGTATCCAAGGGGGTACCCAACAAGCTCTGATGGATGGGGGCTACTCCTGATCTTGGGAACGAACTGGCCAGGGTTTGCTAAGCTAACAGAGGCTATGGGGCTGCATTCATGTGCGTCTGGGAAATGTGAGTTCTGTGCTGTGTTTAGTGGAGAGTCGGATTCTGGTCTCTTTGCAGTAGGCTGGGTCCTGAGAGGGAAAACGAGGGACACAGCGGACTTACTTTGGTTACGATTTGTGTGTTTCTGCCACCCGGCTATTTTGAATAAACTGTTTTTGTTTGTTTGTTTGCTCCTCTTCGGTCCTTTTAACCCTGTGTGAGCCAGAAGCCTCACAATATTCAATCATACTTGGGGTGATTTCAACTGTTGGCTTGACCCCGCTTTAGATCGATCATCTATCAATATTAATAGGATAAGCAAATCTGCCTCTTTTATAAAAGGTCCCATGTCATGGCCATTTCTACTGATCATAATTCTATACTAAAATATATGTATATTGTGCAATTTTCCAAACTCACATTGGTTTCTCATATAGCATTATGTGTATTCACTCTGTCCTTAACGGCTTGTTGGAGCTCCTGCCCCCCCCCTCCCTGTGAGCCCAGTGGCCGTCTGCGAGACAGCGAGACACCGCAAAACTCAGCCTGGGCACACACACACACCTGCAGCCTGGCTGGGAGTTTGTGTGTGTGCCCAGGCTGAGTTCCGCTGTGTCTCGCTGTCTCGCCGACCCCACACCAGTGAGCTAGCTCACAGTGTCCCGCTCCTCGCAGCAGCGAGTCTCGCAACGTCCCGCCGAATGTGTGTGTGTGAGGAAGCCCGCAGATTGGTCCAAACGTAACGGCTCCGCGGATGTAACATAACCAATCTGCGGAGCCGTTACATTACTATACCCAAATACGTCATTATACCCAAGAAGTATACAATGGAAAAAGAGAAATCTCCAACGAGGTGTTCTGGGGCAGCATAGACAGGTCCTTTCTGTGTTAGAGTTTTACTCGCTACAGGGTGTACTTTGAGGGTTTGTGACTCTGCAGACCGTTTAGATGCATAAAAGCTACATAACACACAAGGGGATGGGTAATAACCAAGCAGCAAAATCTGGGCTGCTTCCGGGATGCGAATCAGGAAGTGCCTCAAACTGCAGTTCATCTAGTGGCCAGTAGGAGCAGTCTGCAGAAGGGAGCAATTTCCATAGACCCCAATGAAATACTACCCTGGAAACAGGGGTTTGGTGGGCAGGGCTAAAGAAAAAAAAAAAAAAGCTCAAAATAGGTTCCTAAAGTCAAAATGGAGGTGAATTTCCTGAAAGATGTTCCTGCAAAAGTTCACTCGATAGAAAAAGGGCTTTAAGATAATCTTTCTACATTTTGATTTTATGAACAGATAACCTTGGTGCTGTTCAGCGAGTGGTGCAACGCTACATGTTGTCCTTACTTGGAGATTTCACTCATCATCTGTCCTGAGGGTCCCCAGGAGTCGTCGTTGGTGGCCTCTCTGACTTTGGACTCCACCTCCGAGTAGTTCATCACCACATTGGTTCTATACAGTAGGAACAAAAAGACAATTCATTCATCATGCCTGTATGAAGTATTATACATGGCATTTATCATTTTTAGTTCAAAATATATGGCCTCCATGGAAAAACCCACAACATGGATGATAATAGATGACAGCTCTTATTTCAGCCACGCCCATGCACATGTCCTTTCAGGGGCTAAAAGAAATGGGACAATAGGGAGTGACTGTGGGTGTGCTCTGAAAATAGGGGAATAAACAACCAAATGCAAATCTGTGTCCAATATAAACACACAAATGAGACCTCAGATGGCACTGTGTGAAACAGTATGGTGCTCTCTGTGGGTGAGCTCTTGTTGCATTTTAAGAAAAAATAAAAAGGGGGAACAAACCGACACTTTCTAACAACCTCAGGGACACAGAGGGCAGGTTTTCCAGATCATGGGTTTGGTAGTCTGTTAACGTATTTAGAATCATTACAAAAAACTAAGGCAAATTTATAATCTGCCTTTTTATATTCAGTCAGACTCCATAAATGTAAGCTTCTGTTATAGGTCTACAAAGTATTGATAAACCAGAATTTTTGAAAGAAAGAAAAAATAAATGTAATTTCTTATGTCCAGTCTGTAAAGGAGACAAGTCAGGTGTTAAGAACAAAGGATTTTCCAGGCAGAGAACATTCTAGAAATATAAAGGATATGTTTGAACACTGTTGTAGAAAATACTTTGAATCCCAATTGGAACGTGAATGATTTGTTAAAAGAGATTAGATACATTTTTCAAGGCAGATGGCCTTGGTGTATTTTGATTTTTAGTCTACTACCTTGAGTAGGAAAGGTTTTTTACAGGACTCGAGAGATATATAATTGTTAAAAGACCAGCATCTTATTCGAAAAGAAAAAGTGTCACAACTTTAGCCGAAACATAGTGAGGAGAGAAATGTGAACCCTGTGCCTCCTTAGTCTTCCCTCACTACTGCCACATCAGCAATAAAATGTACAGGGCCTGAAAAAGCAGCATTGGATTGATGGTTGGAAATACACCCTCTCTGTGGTTGAGGAGAAAGGCTGCATTACTACTGCAAGCTGCAGGGTTTGGTTGCCACTCTACATGACAACATGCTCTCTTTTGTTTAAATTAAGTCTATGTTTTTTCATTCAAGTTGGATCAGGGGTTACAGTAACTTTATGAGAGATGGAGATCCTAGACAAACAAACAGGCCCTGTCCTGTATCACACTGAACACTATTGCCAATGCTCTTTAAGGACAATGCTGACTTCATCTCTGTTTGGGAAGGGTCAGGTTTTAGGTCTGATTTTATTTATTTTTGGAGTCTTTCTGATTAGTTTGCTACTAAGTTACAACTTCATTTGGCCCGAGTCCCTCTGGCATTTATCGATGCTGCACACATAATTATGTTTGCATGAATTATGGCAAAAACCAAGAGGATATGGGGTAGTGATGCAACTTCTTATCTCTTCATAGTGGCGGCCTTGTTCTAGATACCAGCCGTTAAAACGGAAGTTGTGATACTCTCTCAGTGACACTATCGCCATTTCCTTTATAAAAAAATTAAAACCTGCTTTCAGTTACTCATTAACCCAATTGTATTATATACTTCATCTAACACATGCTACTTGCATTCATAGCAAGTTCTTTTTCAAACATGATAAAACCTTTGCTTGCATGTCATGCCTTAGCAAAGACCTCACCTTCATCATGCAACAGGAAATATAGCATTATGCCATGCTGTTAGTGTGGATGACTCACAGCTTGGTGACACTTAATACAAAGTCAATACAAAAGTGACACTTTTTGAATGTCACAAAACACAAACTATTGCGTCACCCTGTTTACAAAGAAACCAGGAGGAAAACCACATGCATACTCCCATCCTTTAATCTGTGAAACTTGCACTTTTTTTTCTTTGTCTTGGTCTGGCCTTCTTTGTGTCTCTCATGAAAGCAACCCGTATTCCAGGAAAACACACTCCAGGGAGACAAGTGCAATCAGCAGGAATGCATTCTTGGAGGGACTTAAGAACACCCTATTGTGGGTGTCGGTAACATTAGTCATAAACCTTGCAAAGGGGCGACATATTGCATAATAACCTATACAGTGTAAGACAACAATTCAACGTTTGGTCAGCAGCTCAAAGCAGACCAGAGTCCAAAGCAGAACAAAAAGACACTTTCCACAACATGTTGCCTAAATTCAGTCCTGGGACAGGTAACTACTTCAAGGTGCTTGAACACTGATGCTGGACATGCAGGGTAACTGCCATCAAACTATGAAAAACTCTTTAGAAATGCAGCTTCAATGACTCACAGTGTACACATGTTAAATGCTTTTCTCGCTTTCTTTCCATTTTGCATACTGAACTCTATCTTAATTATTTTCAAACCCGAATTATAAGTAACTGGTTTGTATAGTTGAACTGAAATCATTAAATCCTTGAATTTAAGCTCGCAGCTGGACAGGTACCAACAAGTTGCAAAACCCTGCAGAATCACTGGTCACTGATTAATAAGTGCCCTTTGTGGTACCGGTGTTTATCTTGTTGTTCTTTGGTGTCGCAGATCGCAATATTATAACTCAGCCACCATTTGTAGACATATAACAAACCAGTTTGATAAGATCGCTGTACATTGCATGTTGGATCGACGTGTTTATAGTTGCTGTGGAAAAAGGTGTCTTATATCTTAATGTACTATGACATATTACGACATATGTACACATTGAAGACTGAGTTGATGTTTGACTAACTAGTCCAACCTGCCAAACAGTCTAGGGTTTAAAACAAGTAATAACTTGGTTATGAAGTAATCCAGCCTTGTGGTGTAACTTAAAGTTTTGAAACAGACTTAATTTTCTGTAAAACTACTACTGTAACGTTCTTGTAACTTAGCTACAAGTGTCATAACAATCATACCGGAGAGTAACCTTAACGCTTTACTACACCCAAGTGCGTGATTAAAAATATGTACAGACAGTGGTAAAGTAAGATAAGATTGTGTGAGTTAACGTTTAGTTCGATAAGCATTCCCCGTTTATTATGCAGTCCAGGAGCTGTCAAACTAGCTTAGCTGGCTAGCCCGTTCAGCTAGCTACATAGCAAGCAGCCTGGTAATTAGCTAGCTTGTCAGCTAAGCTAGTTAGCTTGCACTGTCGGAGAAAACGCACAAACAACAAGCATAAGTCATCTCACAGGAGTGCTAATGTTATCTTGGACCAAACAAAAACCCAGGCAAACTGAAGATGACTAAGAGAGCACTCTCATACTCGTGGGAAACCGTGTTTGTAAAAGTCAGCTAACTAACTGGCTAGTAGCAAACAGGCTAGCTAACTTGTTCAAGTGACGTCAGAGTTTTGGGTACGTGTCTCTTTCAAACAGGTGAACTAAAAGCACAAACAACGCGAACCAGGCGTTATGTAGCGAGGCGATACTTACGCTTTGTCAACCAACTCCCTAACCTTCCACATGTTCAGCATCTTGGCTCCGTGAAAATGGGCTTTCTGCCTCGACAAAACCCTTTACTCCACACGAACACCGTACCAAACCCTTGAACTCTCTAAAAGTAAACTCTTCTTCACCTCTCGTTCAAGACAGGAGGCGCAAACGCACCACCGGGCAGACAGGAAAGGTTACTACGGGAAATGCCCATGTAGCGTCACCAACTTGCGTGAAGCAGCATTGGAGTTGTAGTTTTCTAATTGCCACCATTGCTACTGTAAATACGCTGAACTTTAATGTGGATTAAAAAAATGCCGTGGCCATCTGCAACGTAAAACAACAGGGAACACCATTTGCCCGAGATGAAGTGAGATTAAACGGTTTTTACAATCCAATGAAAGATGTATGGGGTCTGGATTTTAAAGAAATTCGATATTTTAATAATTTAAAAAGATACCCTGAGAGTCCAATATACATTATTGTTAGAATATAAATTATTTCAGCCCTTATTTTTGTTACTTTTTGCGTAGATCTCTTGATGCATAGGGTATTTATTGGTTTGTGTGACTGATAATATGATTTGTCTCATTGCCAGATATATTGGTAGCCTATCAGTCAATGTTTTAACGTTACAAGAAATTGCAGCACAGAAAACCCAAATATATCTTTGCTGGTGGTAGATTCAAAATGTCATACATACTTAGTCAATCAAGACAGTCAATAGAGCATGGACATTTTTTTTTAAGTTTATCGGATAAAAAAAATAGGCATCCTTTTCAAAAAGGTGTGGTATGTTTTGTATAGACTTCATTTAAATTACATGTTGGGACAATATTATCCAGGAAAGACAACTTCTATATAAACCTTAATGTAATATTTGTTTCCATTCTGAACGGATATTCTTTGGCTTTCACTTCACACTGCTAAAACCTGTTTATTTTTTAATCCAAATGTGCCCCAGCTACCTCAAAAGTGCAGCCTACATCCTCATCAGCAGGTCACCACCCTGTGTGTTCTCTATCCCTCCTCATCTGGCATTCAGGCATGCTACAATGACCCAGTGATGCTGTGTGACGGGCCAGGCAGGGCACTGGCTGTTTGTGTCAATCCAGATCAATCACTCCCTCTTCTGGACGGACAACGTCATCAACGGGCAGAAAGGTCACAGGGTGTATTCAAGCCAGGCCTTATGTTGTGAGTAGGGGGGTCAGCAGAGCAAGTGAATACCCTTGACTGACTGAGCTTCATCTTGAATAGATGCAGTGGGCTTTTGAGTAAGACATTTTTTTTTATTTGATTGTTAGAAGAAGTAATTTCTTCCCGCTTGAAATATTTTTGTTGTACTCTCCTGTGACTGGGCGTATACAAAAAGCATTAAGACTGTTTGTCGTATTGATTGATATTCCAGTGGGCATGATAAGCCCTCAGTTGCCCCACATCTGACAGGGTCCCTATTCTCTAATGATACTTGTAAATATGGCCCACCGCTTACACTTCTATAAGAGAGCAGGAAGAAACAACACAATAGCCAAAATTCAACCCATTTGAGGAAAAAACAACAAGAAACAGC